TGCGGTACGCGGGCCTCTCACTGTTGCTGCCTCTCCCGCTGCGGAGCACAGGCTCCGGACGCGCAGGCCCAGCGGCCATGGCTCACGGGCCCAGCCGCTCCGCGGCATGTGGGATCTTCCTGGACCAGGGCACGAACCCGTGTCCCCTGCATCGGCAGGCGGACTCTCAACCACTGCGCCACCAGGGAAGCCCCTCTCCAAACTTTTTGTTTACGAATTTTCAAACCTACAGAAGAGTTGCAAGAATGGTGCAATGAACATGCATGTACCCCTCACCTGGATTCACCACTTTTGCTTCAACACACACACACACACACACACACACACACACACACACACATTTTTTTCAGAACGATTTGAGAGTTGACGTCATGACATTTCACCTCAAAATGCTTCAGCAGGCATACTCTCAGAACAAGGACACTGTCCTATACAGCCACACTACAATGATCATACTCAAAACACTTGACGCTGATAAATCCCTTATCTAACCGTGGTTCTTGTTTAGATTTCCCCTGTTGTCCCAATAGTGGTTTTTTACAGGGTTCTTTTTGTTTGTTTGTTTTGATCCAGGAGCCAATCAAGGATCAATCAAAGCACCACATGCAGCTGTCATGTCTTTTTAACCTAGTTCTCTTTTTTTTTGTTGGTCATCCGGGACACCTACATTTTTTTTAAGGAATACAGGCCAGTTGTTTTGCAGAATGTCCCTCAATTTGGGATTGTCTGCTGCTTCCACATGATTAAATCCAGCGTGTATGTTTAGGGTAGGAATAGCACAGATAGAATGTTGTGATCCTCTCAGAGCAGCCCACCAGGGAGCACAAGATGTCCCGTGTCCCACTATCTGTGACCTCATTTTTGATCCCACAAGTTGTCATAGGGGAGAGAATTTTGCAGAAACCTGCATCCTCTCCCCTTGCCCCGCAGGCCAGCCACACTGGAGACCGCCCCATGAGCGTGGAGAGGTGGCACTCTCTGTGGCTCTGAGGAGATGAAGGGAATGGGGCGTGGCCAGAACTGCTTCCCAGGGCAGATCAGAATCACCTTTGCCCCCAAACCACAACCCCCCTCCTGCCTGCCCACGTGGCTGCCATGCCCTGCCTCTCTTTGGCTGGGAGGAAACCATCCTGTCCCGGCAATCCCCACTCATCCTCCCTACTTGTCAAGGCACTCACGTTTTAGGAGGAAGCGGCTGGTTCCTGTGGTAAACCCCTGCCTGGCCCAACAGACCTGAGCAGCTGATTTCTTGAACCCTGGTCTCAGAGGAGAAGCCTAGAATCCCAGCCTGCTGGTAGCAAGAGATAATACTGGGCCAGGACAGGGAGGTGGCCTGGAATCAACTGGTGGGATGTGGGTGAGTCAAGGGTAGCCAGAGGGCAGAGGGGAAAGGTCTACCTCTTAACTGCTCTACAAATCCCAGATCAGTTCACCTCTTCCATGAAGCCCACCTTGATCACCTTGGTGCCCACCAAACTCTTCTCAACTGCATAGGAAAGTGCTTAATTCTGCTTTAGCAAATTACTTGTGCCTCCTCTTGTATAGTACTAAACCTGGGGAGGCCGGGGGGGCGTGCATCTTTGTGCAGCTATTTGGGCCTAATCCTGCATTGTGTATGCAGTAGGTGCTCAGTTCATGTTTTGATTAGCTAAATAAAATGAGAGTTCATCTATTCATGCATTCATTCACTCGAAAAATCATTAACGAGCAACTACCTTGAGCTAGAACAGCTTCTAGGGGCCCTTGCCCTTGGGGATTGAATGTAGGGGGACAGACCACAGACAGATAAATAAGCAGATGATGTGAGGCCAGCGCTACAAAG